GCTAAATCTCCACTACACTCAAAACAAAAAACCCAAAAAATTGTTAAGGGCCCATTGCTCACCTCTGTTTTTGCATTTGTAGAACCTGGCCCAACACGCACAACCAAAGTGCGTTCCCTGGTGAGAGCCACCCTGTGGCCGTGGTGAAAACTGCCCTGTGTGGAGCCCTCCCTGCCCTGGGCACAGGGTCCCCCACGCCCTCGCAAGTACAGCAACCCTGCCAATGCCCACGTAGCATGCACACTGTGTGGGGACCTCTAAAAGCCTCAGGTGGGGTCAGTTTCCCCCACTCACCCGAGCTGGGGGCAGAGTCATCTGGCTCCAAGGCTGGGGCATGGCTGGGGTAACCTCAGAGCCCCTGCTCAGTGCCCAAGTTCACTCCAAGGGGGCCCACCCTGCCCCCACTGCCCCCACTGCCGCCATGGCCCCCACCACGGACTGCAGAGAGTGGCTCCACCCCCGCCCTCCTCACAGGCTCCTGTCCCCTCCCTGTCTTCCCTGAGCCAGTGTCTACAGTGCAGAGCACCCCAGACATGGCGACGGACTCCTTGGGCTCCGGCTGGACAGCCGTGTTGGGAGGAGGCAGGAAGCTGCAGAAAGAAAAGCCAGGATGTGCAGCAAAGCGAGGACCCTGAAGTCTCCAGAAGATCCTGCAGACTCCCACCAGACCTCCATGGGGTCCAGCCGACCCTTTCAGTCCTCTCCCTCTGTGGAAGTTTTTCTTTCATCTGCTTTTTATGTATCATCCAAAATGTTCCTCAGTCTCTCTCCTCAGACAGGTTAAACCACAACCGGCCAGGCTCCCTTGAGGAAGCCCCTCCCAGCACCTGGAGGTCTGATCCGTTCTCCCCGCCACCCCCGTGCCAGCTGCTGCACACCAAAGCCTTCTCCAGACCACACACCCGAGCTCCTGCCACGACAGCAGTTGTAGCAGCTGACACTTGCTGAGCGCTGGGGCCTCGTCCATGCTGACGCCTTTACATCTGGTCTCACTGCAAAGTAGGTGCTGTCGATACCACCACTGCTCCCCAGGGAAAGAGGAGGAGGCTCTGGCCGGACGGGAACTTGCCAGAGACACACAGCTGGTAAGCTCAGAGCCAGGATTTGAAACCACGCTGGTCATCTTTTAAAGCTCGAGCTCCCAGCCACTGCGTTGTAGTGTGTCCTCTCCCGTCATCAGCTCAGCAGACACTGGTGAGCAGCTCCTCAAGGCCAGGCCCAGTGCTGAGGGTCGGCCCGCAGATGAGGCTGAGACGGGCAAGCCCCTGAGGCGCTTACACCCAGACCCACCTGGCACCGGGCGCCAGCTCCTTTCCCCTGGGGCTTCGGGAGACCCGGCCCGGGCTGACCGTGGGCTGGGTGGGATTCAGCAGCAGCAACTGCATTCCCAGGCGGAGAGGCACAGTATTGGGGATAAACAGAACACCACAGAGCAGGCTGTGGACAAACTGCTCGTGCTGGGCCTCTAGGTCTCCCTGGGAGTCTCCCATTCCCTACCCTTGAATGAACATCAGCTTAGCCTTCCTCCTGCTGGGTGGACCCTCCTGGGGGTGGGGGGCAAACATCCTCCCACACCCTTCTCTTTGTCTTCAACCAGTCATTGTTCCCGAGGGTGTGGGCTTGCAAAACTGACCAGCCCCCACCTGCTGCCATCCCATCTGAGGGGACCCTCACTAATCAACAGGGCTACGGCTGTGGGCCAGTGAAAAGCAGACAGAAATACTTGGCAGGGAGCAGACTGGGGGGCAGCAAAGCCTGGCCAGGCAGCCCCACCTCCTGCCCTGCAGAGGAGCTGAGGGCCTGAGGCAGAGGGAAGGGAAGCTGCCTGCCCCTGAGAGCCCCCTGTGCAGCCTGGGGCCTCCTGTGGAAGAGCAGGAGGCTCTCTCTGCTGAGCCATGGGGTCTGCAGACTCAGCCTGGGGCCGCTCTGGGAGGGACGGAGGAAAGAAGTGCGGGGCAGATACCCACCCCAGAAGGACCCGGTCCGGCTCTGGGGAGGACTTAGCTCAGGAAAGGACTATTTTGTTGAGGTCACACCGTGAGCAGATGACAGTTCTGCCTAATGGGCCCAGCCCCATGGCCGATGGCCTTTGCACCACACCACAGGGCCTCCTTCAGCAGCCAGGGCCAGAGGCTGCCCCCTTCTCAGAGAAAAGGGGGAAAGCCCAAATGCGTGGAGGAGTTTCTACGTACCACGGTCCCAGTGCAGCCACGTTCTAGTCAATGGCCCCCACTGCCCTTGCCCAAACTTTCTCATGAGTACACTCAGTGTGAGCTGGGCCCCCAAAGGCGGGAGGTGATGGCTTGTCATCCACACCCCCACCGCATCCCCACTGATCCCCACGTCGCATGAAGGGGACTGCCCTGCTCTCCAGGCTCTTCTCCCCCCATCTGCAGTCACAGGATGGCAGGGCCTTCTGACCGTCTCTCAGCCAGGCTGGGCGCCGCCATCTCTGAAAGTAGGTGTCCAGGAGGTCCCTCTGGAGCCGGGAGCTTCGCAAGCATGATCACGGGTGGTGGCATCGGCCTGACAACAGTGAGCGGGGATTTGGGGTGGTGGGGTGAGGCCCAGGAGCCTGTGTTTCACAGCCAGACGGCTGCGAGGCACACTCAGGTTGGAGGAGCACGAACTAGGGGACAGACAGGGAAAATAACCCAGACAGCGAGACAACCAAGGGAGCAAGTTCATGAACACAGAGCTTGGCAATGAGCTAAAGCTTATAGCACATATGCACGCATCCAAGGGAGAGGCCTTCCCTGTGGCTCCCTCCCTGGGACAGGGGTCCTCACCCAGAAACCTCCTGGGTCCCCATCCCCTGCATTGCCCTTGTTGCTCCGTAGTTCTCCTTGGGAGCCCCAGCACTGGTGTCACTAAACAACCGTGAGGTTTGTAGTCAGGGTCTGTCTCAGCCTCTGGACCGTCAGCTCAGAGAAGGCAGGGGGTCCAACCTTGTTCACGGCTGTGCCCTGGTACCCGCACTGTGTCCAGCAGGTGGGAGGCACTCACGGGTGTTCATTGAATGTGTAACTCAGGTTGGAAAGCTGGGAGGGGTAAGCTCAGGTACAAGGAAAGAAACACAGAAAACAGACTTGGGCTTGTGGTCGGCAGGGCCTTCCCCATCCAGGAATCACTCAGCCCACATAGGGATTTGACAGGGTGTGGAGTCCTCGTGTCTGGGGCCGTCTCGCTGCCTCTAGCCTGGGTAGGGCAGCTCCTCTCTGCATCCACACTCTTCTGCTGCTCTTCTCAAAGCTTCCCACAAATGACAGCTTCTCACTCTCCTCTCCTGGTGCTGTGACAGCGATGGATGCTCTTTGCTGTTAGGGATGTTCTTTGAGTCTCACTCCTATGTTTCCTATGGCATTTCCACCCCCCTTCCCTCTCCTCTTTAACACAATTGACAACATCAAAACTAGATGGGAGCTTACAGATGATCTTAGAAAACAGCCTTCAAGTCTTTTGTGTGGGGTGCTCTACAGTCATACTTCTTAAAAGGTACCGGTATGTCCAGTACCACTTGGGAGCGTGTGTTTTGTGTTTCTCCTTTATGACATTTGGCACTTTGACATGCCAAAAAACTCAATGAGCAATTGGCAAAGGAAGTTACACAAACATGTTTCACAAATCTCTAAATCTTTGAACAAAAATGGTCATCCCACTTTTGCAAATATTTCCACATAGGGCTGCAGAGTTCGAGCCATCTTTTTTGTGTTATTTACTTATTTATTTATTTTGGAATGCATTTTGAGTGCAAACCATGCAATGGCAAGAAAGATCAAGTGGAATGAGCAATGGCGGTGTGCTCTGTGCTGGGATTCACTCAGCCCCAGGGACAGGGAGAGTTTCATGGAGCCAATTTCCTTCTTGGGATTGTTAACATAACCCTCTATTTGGAGCACTGAGGGCCTGTGAGCAGCCAGTTCTCTGCGGGAGCACATTCCCAAGGAGGAGGGAGAGTCCAGGCCTCTCCTCAGACTTCCCATGGACCACAGGCCCTCTGGCCCACTCCTGCACCCCGGGTGCATGGGGTCGCCGAGGGCTGGACTGTAGCAGCCGTCTGTGATCACCCATCATCCACATGCTGCCCTTCAAACACTAGTCAATATCGTCCTTCCGAGGGTGCCATTCATTAAACTTCTCTGTTCCAGGCACGGCGCTAGTTTGCTAATCCTGACAGCAAGAGATGATGACATTGTTTTCCCCACTTTGTAAATGAGAACACTGGTTTTTCCCAGGCACTTGGTCTGAGCCAACTAGTCTTTTATCGCATACTTGCATATTTTATGTAATCTAATACAAATAATGGTTAACTCATGCTAAGTGTTCACTATGTTCTGAGAGCTTCACATGTATAAACCCTTCTCATCGCAGCAACCCTGTGACACAGAATGTCACTGTCATCCTCATTTCTGTATGAGAAAACGGGGGCATGGAGTGCTTGAGAGTCCTGCCCAAGGTCACTCAGCGACCGGCCCCAGCATCAGCCCCAGGCAGGCCCAGCTCAGCTCAGGCGTGACTGTGCTGCTTCCACGTTGAGGGGAAACACTCCAGAGAGTGGTGGAGAGCATGGATTTAAGAGTCAGACACATTTGGGGTCCAACTCCAGTTCTAACCCAGATGGGCAGTGTGAATAGGGGCAGGTGTATGAGCTATCTATTGCTATGTAACAAATCACGCCGGCCTTTGGCTGCTTAAAACAATGATCATCTCACAGTTTCTGTGGGTCAGGGATCTGAGAGTAGCTTCACTGGACTCCAGCCCAGCGTCTCTCCCAAGGTTGCTGCCAAGATGTCACCAAGGTTGCAGTCCCCTCAGGCTCGCCCGGAGAAGGAGCTGCTTCCAAGTTCAGTCACGTGCCCCTCTCCATACGACTGCTCCACTCCATGACCTGGCCACTGGCTTCCCCCATGGTGAGGTGAGCGGTCCAACAGACAGTGCGAGAGGGCACCCAAGATGGAATCTACTGTCCCTTTACAACTCGGTCTCGGAAGCGACACTCTGTGCTCGCTTTGGCAGCACATATGTGGAATGATACAGGGAAGGTTAGCAGGGGTCCTACAGAAGGATGACAAAAAAATTTATGGGAAGTGTTCCCATAAAAAAAGAAAAGAAAAGAGAGTGACATTTCATTACTTCTACATTATTCTTTTTTTTTTAATTAAAAAAAATATGTTGCCCTGGCTGGTATGGCTCAGTGGATTGAGTGCCGGCCTGCAAACCAAGGGGTCACAGATTCCATTCCCAGTTGGGGCACATGCCTGGGTTGTGGGACAGGTCCCCAGTGGGAGTGGCTCAAGAGGCAACCACACATTGATGTTTCTCTCCCTCCCTTCCCTTCTCTCTAAAAATAAATAAATAAAATCTTTTAAAAATATATGTTTATTGATTTTAGACAGAGAGAAAAACATCAATCAGCTGCCTCCCATTTGTGCCCCGACCAGGGATCAAACCTACAACCCAGGCATGTGCCCCTATGGGGAACCAAACCCCCACCTCTTGGTGTATGAGACAATGCTCCAACCAACTGAGCCATACCAGCCAGAGCATCTACATGATTCTATTCTTTAGAAGCAAGGCAAAAAGCCCAGGCCACACTAGGATAGTAGGGGATTACACAAAGACCATGGACGGGAGGAAGAAGGAGCGATCGGGCCTTCTTAGAGATGGCCTACCACAACCAGTCACTTAAGCTTCTCAGCCTCAATTTCCTCCTCATAAAATGGGAGTATAGTAGTATTTACCTCCAAGAGTTCTTTTCAGGCCTCAGAGAGTTGAGCAGTGCCCCACATTGAGTGAGCGCTCAATGTGTTGGTCACTCTCACCACCAGGCTATAAGCTACCCGTGGGCAGGGACACTGCATCTTTCCCGACTGCATTGTCCATTCAGAGCCTGCCCAGCTCAGTACCCGACACTCCCACGGATGCCAGGCACTGGTGGTGCCCGCGAGGAAGTGACCGTGAAGGAGGCAGGGCTGCCCTCAGAAAGCACGCTGTTCACGCCACTCCCAAGACCTGTGAGAGGGGGCTCCCCCCAAATGGCAGGACTGTCCTGTGTGAGCCAGCCAGCGCACCAAGGGCGAGAGAGTATCCAGGTATCTGGCCCCTGCCGACTCTCAGCCACTCAACCCAGAAATGGTCAAGCAATGAAGGTTACCAAGGGGGCAGGTCCTGGGTGTGAATCCAGCGCAGCTCCTATAGGCCCTGTCTTGGCAGATCCCCCACACCCTGCCCAGACCGCTCCCAGGAGGGGCTGGCACAAGGGCAAGGGCAAGTTCCAGAATGCTGGACCACCTACATGTGGCAGCAGTAACTGTTTGTGGCTCCCTGAGGCTTGTCATCAAGGAACAACATGTTGCCCTCTGGGGTGCCTGGCGAAGGTGGCAGCTGCTAGGCATTTCCAACCTAGAGCTCAGGAGAAGGAGCAGAGGGAAAGGGAGGGAGGGAGCCAAGTCCTGGGCACAGGACCACACACCAGCCAGGCTGCAGACCAGGAGGAGAGACCGAGCGCAGTGGAGAGGCCGCAGGCCGGGCTGGAAGGACATAGGCTGTGGAGTCGTGGGTCTGACTCACGGCTCAGCCACTTGTCTGCCAGTGACTTCGGACAGGCTGCTTAGCTTCTCTTCATCTCTGGTGCCTCGTCCACAAAATGACCTTCCATCTGGCACAGAGGTTGTGAGAAACAGCAGGGCAGATGTTCAGGGCCTGGCACACAGTAGGTGCTCCATAAACAGAACCATCATTTTCAAAGTGAGAGGGAGCTCACAGAAAGAGAAAGATGGGATATACACATTAAAAAGTGCTTCACCCTATGTGCTCAGCCAGATGAGATTTTATTGTACAAAGAGAATACCAAGTGTAACCAGCATGTGGCCAAGCAACAAAGCATGACCAGCACCCCAGAAATCCACTTCTTGCCCCTCCTAGTTCTCTGAGTGGAGGACCACTGTGCTAACATCTAAAGTCCTACTTTTGTGCTTTCTTCGAATGGAGTGACTGGTGTGCCTCCTTTACGTCTGACTATCTCTCTGGGCCTGGAGCAGTGTGTGCGAGGCGCTCGCCCATGCTGTTGTACGTGGTTGGAGTCTGCTGGTTCTCAGTGCTCTGCTGTGCCCCGTTGTGTAAACATGCTTCTACTCACTTGTTCATTCTGTTGTTGGTGGACCTTTGGGTGGTCTTCAGCGTGGGGCTCTTAAAAATAGTGGTGCCAGGGACGTTCTCGTCAATGTTTTTATTTGATGGATTTAGGGTGGAATTGTTGGGTCAGAGGTCATCCGAACTCACAGCTGTCATAGGTACAACCACAGAGCTTCCAAAGTGTTTGTATCAACATACACCCCACCAGTGTCCTTGTGCACTCATGGGGTTGCCACCAGCTTTCATTTTCGCTATTCTAGTAGGTGGGTAGTGGTGCTTTTAATTGCAGTTTTAATTTAGATTCTGTGATGTATAATGAGAAGGAGCAACTCTTCCTATACTTATTGGACATTTGGGTATGAATCTAAGTTGCCTAATTTCTGTCCTTGATGGGGGTCCTCTTGAGAACTGAATCCATAGCATTACCAACTAAAACAGAACATACTACCATCCGTGACAGATACTGTAGACGGATTCAAGCAGCTCCATCCACACCTCACAATTCCGGTCTGCACACGACACGCCCTCGGCCAGGCAGGAGTGCTCGCGTGAGCCCGGGAAGGCAGACATGTGGCCTGGCATGTGCCTTTGCTACTGCCACCATTTCTCCCGGCGAGCTCAGGGATAAAGATATTTGGTTCTTCCTGGGGGTGGGGGGGCAGAGATCCTGGGCCCGGGCTCTAGTTCTGTGGGTGTCAGGGGGCAGGCACGTGGCATCCCTTCTGCTGAGGTGGAGCACACGGGCCACCGACAGGGTGATGTGGTCCGGGAGTTGGCAGGCGGGGCCGGTGGCTCCCGGGCTCCCCAGGTTCCTGATCACAGCAGAGAGGGCAGAAGTCTTGGCGGGCCGGTTCCCCCACGTCGAGGAGGCTTTCCCAGGGACCCTGCCCGCACCGCTCCACCAGTCGTCCCAGTGATTTCGTCGAGTCCTGAATCCCTGTATGAATTTCTTTTCTGCTTAAAATAGGTAGAGTGATTGCTATGCCTGCAGATAAACCCTGACCGATGCAATGTGATATGCTGATACCGCCAGTTTGTGGAAGAAAAAAAAAATTTCAAGACCAAACAAAAAAAAAAAGACCATAATCCCAAAATAAAAAGACAGTTTCTTAAATGTTATTATTAAATCAGCCCCATTTCTCATTTTGATAATGGAAATTTCAACACCAGTGGGCTGTGAAGGAAGGAGTGAGTTCAGAAGGGGCATTACAAAGGAAACATGAGGAGCGGCCCCGGGAGGGGTGTGGGGGCGTCGGGAACAGCCATTTTCCGACCAGCAAACCATTGTCAGGAGTAACCTGGCCCTGACTCGGGGTTCAGGGCTTTTAAATGCCACAAACAATATTATTTTATGAGTTAAAGGTCAAGGAGAGCTTTGATGAGGGGGAGTATTGGGCAGGAACCATGGCAGCCATGTCCCAGAAAATAATTTGAGCGCTCATTAGTAATAGTTAAAGAGTTTTCTGGCACTTAAACGGTAACAACGGGATTCAGAGGAAAGAACTCCTGGGAGCAGAGAGAGGCGCTGGAGAGAGGAGCTGTCCGACAGGACCCTGAAGGCCCCCGGCAGGGAGGAGGCCGGCGGGGATGTGGGATCCAGGAGGGCCCCTCTACTCAGCTGGCACCGCCCCACAGCTGCAGGGCCGCAGTGCTGGAGCCTGGCTGGCAGGGAGTCTCCAGGCTCAAAGCTGGGCACAGGCCCTGGTGACAGCGGCAGCAGTTGGTGATGTGTGTGTTGGGGGGAGGGTTGGGAGGGCGGGGAGAAGAGTCCAGCTGCTAGGGACCAGAAGGGGGATGCACCAGGGTGGAACTCTACAGATGGAAGCACTCGGTCATCTTCTGGCCCGGTGATGTGAAGTGAGGCTCTCTGTCTCCCCCCTTTTAAACAGCGTATAATGGAAATTCCCAAACAGACACAAAGTAGAGAGAAGAGTACCATGAACACCCACAGGCCCACCACCACCCAAGGACAGAAGTCATCACCTCATCAGCCCGGCGATTTTTAAGCTGTTTTAGCCTCTGATTCTCTGCTCAAATAAAAACTTATGTATGTGTAGCTGAATGAAATTATGAAATATTTACTTGTGTTTTCCCCCATTCCTTTATCCCAGTTAGGCAGATGTTAGGAGAATGAGCAATAAATACCTGGGAGAAAAAGGGTTTGCAGGGGAGGCAAGAAAGGGGGAAGGAGTTCCATTCATTTGCTGGGCTGCAAACAAAATACCATGAACGGAGTGGCTCAGGCAGCAGGAATTCATTGCCTCACGGTTCTGGAGGCTGGAAGGGTTTTCCCAGGATAGAGGGCAGACTAGGAACAAGGGACCCGGAACAAGGAAGAGCAAGGCAGAGGGGACATTGGTCGGCTTCCAGATGGCACCTGCGTCCCACAAGTGGCACAAAATCAGCAGAGATAGCTGGACCCACAGGCGCCCCTGGGTAGAGATGTAGTCTGTTGGTGGGCACACCAGCACCCCAGAAGTGAGACACCACCCATTTCAAAAATATCTGGAGTGAATATTTCATCTGGCTCCTGGAAGCGGGTGCTGGGGGTCAGAAATTGATTTAAAAAGCAGAGGAACTGATATTTTCTGTACCTCTTGAGTTTGTCAGCTGAGAGTTGTACTGGCCAAACATAAAACAGATAACAGCAGGCCTGTTCTAGGTGGAGCTCACCCTGACCCTGGCTCCCCCTGTCCAAGGCAATCCAAAGGGTTTTGGGGTTCCAGGAAACTCAGTTTGAAACTACTTAGGGCTCACCTTTCCCCTTACTGAACTCACAAGGACACAGAGCCTAGAAGAAGAAAAGGTCTGACTGTGACTGGGTACCAGGCAGGCCGGCAGTAGAGCCAGAGGAATCCAGGGCTCCTGGTTTCCAGCAGAGCCTCTCCTGGTGGCTTCCCCAGAGGTTTCCCAGACAGGCTGATGCTATTTCTCTGATCCACATGCAGTTCCTATCTGGGGAGGTGTC